TGCGCGATACGCTATGGCATGGTAGGTGAAGGGCGGGCGGGCGGTCCGGCAGACGCGTGACGTGGCGTCACACTGCAAAACGATTCGGCGTTTCATCCTCCTCTGCCTTTGCGCGGGGGGACGACTCGCCGCATGAATGCGACTTGGTCTATTCTTCCTATCCTCCTTTCCCCATCTGTTCGCAGGCTCGGCCTTGAGGTCGCACCCTCGACGAGCCTCCGACCCCCCGACCCCGACCCCGACCCCGTGATTAGAAGGGTCGGGGGTCGGGTCGCATGGGGGTGCCGGGTTTCAATCCCCTCCCTTGTTACGGAGCCACCACCGCGAAACAACACGTCACCGCTTCCACTCGACTATGTCGGCGCGCTTCTTCTTTCTCCGAAACCAAAGTTACGTTTACCTCCTGACTTGATGATGGAGTGGGTCCGGGAGTGCCAACTGTCGCACATAGGTCCCCTGCCGCCACCGTGCGCCCAGTGCCCCCTACCCCCTCTTCGACTCCTCTCCCAAACTTCCTGTTCGGACCGGGACCAGGACCTGGGGGTCCACGCGGCGCCGACCGGAACTCGACAGCCACCCTGTTTGGTCCCGTCTGGTGACGGCTGAGCCGGCCAGGCAGACGTCGAGACAACCACCACCAGCCCGCCCGGCTCCGCGGCCGCGGGTGCGATACGTATTTATCTCTCCGCGCAACAACAAATGAACGGAGAGCTGCGAAAAGCGGCGGCGGCCGCTAAGAGCCGCCCTCCGCCACCGCGCCGCCCACCCGCGCACCCCGCAACGGCCGGAACGAAACAAAGCGAGCGCATTTTTCTTGGGCTCGGCTCGGCTCACCTCCGGTGCAGCCGGCGGCGGCTCGCTGGGCTGGCGGCTCCCGAGCCGGCCGCGTCGGTCTGCCTGCTGGTGAAGCGGGCCTCGTGGGAAATCTCGGCCTCCACGCTGATTTGTTTCGCGCCGCCTGGGAGGTAGGCAGCCATCAAGACAGCCCGAGCCGGGGCGGAGGGCCGGGCCGGGCCGGGCGCGGCAGCCCGGCGATACACAACATATATCATCTCATTATTTCGTTTGAAGACATATTTATGGCGCGGCCTCCGGCCCGGAGCGCCTCCGGCTCGCCTCCGGCCGGCAGAGCGGCCCCCGGAGGCCCTGCAGGCCCTCCGCGGGGCGGGGGGAGGCTGCCGGAGTGTCCCGGCGGGAGCGGGGCGCGCTCACCGCTCACACCCCTCCCCGCCACCCACCCGCGGCTGCGCGCCCCGTCGTGATATCCCTCTGCCCTCTCGCAACCGATGATCGCCTGTTCATTAAGTAGAGTCCTCCCCCTCCCCTTCTTCCTGTTACCCCCTCTGCTTCTGCCCCGGTACGACCCGCCTCTCCCCCCCCCCATCCCCCGCTCAGTAAACGTACCGCGCGTCGGGCCGTGCTCCTCCAATCTGAGATATAAACTATTCGCTTCAGTTGCTATGGGTGTTCAGCTCAGCAGGTCGCGAACGTCGCGAAAAAGGCAATTTTGTCTGACCACGCTTCTAGGCCTAGCAACAAGTGAAAATGTAAAAGTAGGGAACCTCCCAAAGAAAGAATTTGAGTCGTGTGACTATCAACGTCAGGTCTAAATGATCCCTTGAGTGACCTCTTTCTGCACTTTTCCTGATGTCATTGTGACCAATATTTTCGACTTTTGACATCATATTTAGTCATGTGTAGTATGACGTTCTGTAGTAATACAATTACGGTACTAGAGACACCAGGTAAAACATAGAAAGGTTTAACAAAAATACTTAAGAATTTCTTGATAAGTTACCACGTAGTTCAAACTTTAGTAGTCGCTAGGGTACCCTAGTTACGTAATTTTCAAGTAACGTTTAGAGTGTCGGGCGATATCCGAACTGGTTAGGAAGAAACAATTCGCACAGCTCTGTATCGGATGCAAAGCGGAACACTGCGTCTGTATTGCTGCTGTAGCTACCCCTGGCCAAGGGGCCTGGTTGCACAGCACTCCTCCTCGGATAGCAACCTTCCGTGTATTTGTGAGTGTTATCTGCCGATCCCAATGAACCAATATCAGAGCGCCCCTCCCACCCTGCGCCGCGCCGAGCTACCCGTCGGGATGCCTTTCTATTTGCGGGCAAGATGGAGGGAGGGTAGGAGAGGGAGGGGGAAGGAGAGAGTGAGGGAAAGCGAGCGAGAAAGAGAGAGAGAGAGAGAGAGAGAGAGAGAGAGAGAGAGA